AAAGAGGGCTTCAGATTCCCCTGGAACTAGAGTTAAGGACGGTTCGTAGCTGCCATGTGGGTGCTGGGACTCGAACCCAGGTCCTCTGCAAGAGCAGTCAGTGCTCTTAACTGATGAGCCATCTCTCTAGCCCTGGTAATTCTTTTTTAAAGAATATTTTATTTATCATTTTTATTTCATGTGTATGAGTGTACTGCTTGCATGTGTGTAAGTGCACCCATATCATGGAATGTCCACAGAGGTCAGAAGAGGGAGTCAGATCCCCTAGAACTGGAGTTACAGATGGCTGTCAGCCACCATGTAGGTGCTGGAAATCAAACCCAAGTCCTCTGCAAGAGCAGCCAGTGATCTTAACCACTGAATCATCTCTCCAGCTTAATTTGCTAACTCTTAATAAAAGATGCAAATTTAATGAGAAACTAAATTATTTATTGTGGTCATTTTGCTGACCATCCTCCCATAGGTAAGAACAGGAACATTTAAGCTCGTAATGAGGACAAGAGGTCTTGAATAGACCATGTAATACATCCAGGAGACCTTGGATAAACACTGGAAGGGAAACTAACAAATTTTTCTATCCAGTTTTATAAGAAGAATCCATTAAAAATCCACAACTTAATTTCTCTCTTGCACTGAGAATTTGGGGCACCTTTATGGATTATGAGTAACACAATTAAGCATCAAAAGAAGACAGAATGTCGTCAGGGACTCTTGGCTTACATTCCCCTTATCTTGCTATGTGACTCTTCAGGAACTGTTTAATTTGAGTGCGCTCTCTTGGTTCCTTTGCCTGAAACAGGAAGTCAAGATATTTACTCAAATCCTGATAGAAGGAAATCACACTCTTTTCCCTCCTTATATCAAACAAGGCTTCCCTTATTCCTCTGAGCTGATGAATAGGATCATTTACCACCATTCACTCCAGGATTCTCAAAGGGCATTGTAATTGTCTTCAGTCAGTGAAATTCTCTTTTATAACCTAATGGCAACTCAAATGCCCATTTCACTTTCTGAAATTTCCTCAGGATCAAGACTGTCACCACCTGACTTTTACCACAGGAATCTAGGGTAACGTTTACCTTTGTTCACACTCACAGCATAAAATACTGTAAGTCTTCAGGAAAGTGCACTTCTGAGATGCCAGAATTCTAGGAATCAGAATGAGCACATGATGTGTAGACTGTCCTGCATCAATGGGAAACCACTTCATAAAAAAACCACAACATAGACTATACAAGTTTTGTTTTTATAAGCAAACAACACACATATTTCTATCAAACTGGATTTTTCAATCTGTTGGTTTCTGAAGTCAAGTTACACTGTACAGGCTTTGCTAGGTGAGTTAATAATTTCACTTTCTCATATGCTGTTATTAAAATTTAGAGCTACCAAAAAGCTAGTAAAATTTGTAAGCATCGGAAAATACAGTTGATAGCAACTATCGCTCTAAAACATCTTATAAACATGAGTATTATTTCTAGTTTCTGAGAAAGAGGCTGAATTGAAGAAATGTGTTTATTATACACATGATGAGGAGAAAAGGGGCTGGAGTTCCTCAGTTGTGAAAGCTGCCTTTTCCTTTCTGTGGAGCATCTAAGAAACAGAGCCCCACACCATGTTTCCCCCTTGAGAAGTATTTCTCTGCCTACCAAGGATGGAACCCACTGACAGTCCCTGTTCATTTGGACTCCTTTCTGGAGGTGTAGGTAGCTGAGGCAGCATCCTCTGCTAAGCAAAGCAAGGCATTCGCAGAACCCCATCAACCCCAGGGCTTTCCCTAACTCTTTCATGTTTCAAAGTGAGTCAGCAGATGCTAAGTCATTTTCCTCATGTGACCGAGAATGCAGAAAGTGATTTATCTACTTACTAAGACTGGAACGGAGAACAGAGAGCACTAACATCTTAGCGCAATATGATTGGGACTTGTCAGAAAAAATCAAAACATTTGCTTTGATAATTAGTTGTATTTTACAGCAGCTGCTAGTAACAACAGGAATATTCATTGTGTCTACTCAAACTCTAACTTTTTAAATATATTACAATCCAAGTAAATGCCGAGGAGAAGATATTGAAGAATATTAAGGAGAAAATATTGAAGGAAATGTTTGCTTGTTTTTTGAGATAGGGTCTCCTTGTAGCCACAGCTGACTTGGCACTTACTATGTAGACCAGGCTGGCCTTGACCTCACAGAGATCCACCTGCTTCTGCCTCCCAAGTGCTGGGATGAAAGGCATGTGCCACCACACCTAAATGGAAATGGAATTTTGATAGAAGAACAAGGAAATAAGTCCTGTATTTTCCTTAGGGAGAACCTTTCTGTTTGTGGTAAATAAAAAAAGAAGTGACTATGACATCCTTATGCGGCACAGTCTCTGAATTTCCACTTATAAAACAATATTCCTTGCATAATTTGGCAAAGAAATTCCTTAATGTACAGCCCATCAACAAATAAAGCTAATGTTTTATTTTCTCAGGAAAGAAATTCTAACAGAGTCTATTTTGTTACAAATAGTGCCTTATATTTTGTTACAAACGCCAAGGTAATCTTTAAGACCCTGAGAAGAAGCCTGGTGTGGTGGTACACACCTCTAACCGCAGCATTCCAGGTGCAGGGGAAGGTGGATCTCTGTGATTTCAAGATCAACCTGGTCTACTTAGCAAGTTCTGGGCCAGCCAGGGGTACACAGTAACCCTGGCTTAAATAAATAATAACTAATTAAAACCCCAATTTAAAAGCCTGGAAAGATTAAATAAACACTGCTAAGTTCTAAATCTTTTCTGAGAATGTGCATTTTTCTCTTCTGCCCAACTCAGTTCTACCTGCTCAGTTACACACCCACCAAGAGACTTTTCATTCAGTCTATAAATATTTATTAAGAACTCATCCTTTAAAGAATAAGAGACTTCAGAGTGCATGTCCCTGGATAGGACTCCTATATTAAACCTCACCCACCCATGGCTCAGGGACAATTGCAGAAGAGGTGGTGGGAAGATTACAAGAGCCAGGGTTGGAACATGACCATAAGGAAACAGGCTCTCAGACCTATGGGAACTTGCTCATATGAACTTGCAACAATGGTGTGAGCATGCACAAGACTCATACTGACTCAATCAGACAACAACCCAGCATAGAACTGGGGAAACGGGCAGCAGGCCCCAACCCTAGCTTAAGAACTATTGGCAACCATGGACAGGAACCTTAAGGAAGTGAATTTTTGTTTTTGTTTGTTGGGTTTTTTAAATAATTTTTTTCTTTAAAAAAAAAAAAACAACTCATCCTATATGAGGCACCAGGCAGTGGCATCACAAGAGACCTAGACCCTGCCCTCAAGGAACTCCCAGATGAAGTAAGCTACAAAAACACAGTGTTAAAACTGTACCAGGAATCTTACAATCTTTAAACAACGGCCCCCAGCCTTCTTAACCAATGCAAGCTCAGGACAAACTTTTTTTAAATGTGTGTGTGTGCGTGATTGTGTGTGTGTACCCTGAGACCAGAAAAGGGCCTGGAGCTGTTGTTACAGGCAGTTGGCAGTTGTCTGATCTGAGTGCTGTGTGCTCTGAAGAGCAGGAAGTGCTCTGAACTGCTGAGCCATCTTTCCAGCCCCAGGATAAACTTTTGACACAGTTACTTAAATCCTACATGGGCCTGTCATGCTTTAGCTCAAAGTTCTGTGGCTACTATGGTAATCCTTAGAAGGATTATTGCTCTGCTTCTGTCATTTTTGTGTAGAGAACTGATGGTCTCTTCTTAAAGTCCGTCCCCTACACCTCGATATCTGTACCCTGATCATTATTAACTACCTATCACATCTAAATGAGTTGCTCTACTGAAATAATGTTATTCAAAAATTTTGCTTCACAACAGAATTAGTTTGCTTCACAACAGAATTAGTTTCTTTTTTTTAAATATGGCAAAGCTAATTTTTTGTATATTTTTATTTTTTTGTGTATTTAAAGACTATGACGAATATATTTTGGTTTTCATATATTTTTCAATTCAATTTTTCAAAATGTATGGCAGCTACCAAATATCTACTATGGACTAATGATTTTTTTACATAATTTCTTATAATCTTCCACATACAACCCTGCAGGGCACTATTGGTCCTATCCCACGAATAGCAAAACTCGTTTCCCAGCCCCACACAGCTAGTTAATGCAAGGCAAGAAACAGGACCACCGATTAACTGACAGATTATCCTCTCAAGAATTTTAACTGACATATAGTTTCCACCTCTGGGGCACATGCATTAGAATTACTCAGTATTCAACATCATAGTAAGGTAATACTAATGCAGTTAACAGCCTTCATACCTAGTTATGTGAAGCTTTCCCCAAAAGAGGTAACTCTATCTTCCCGTAAACCAGAGCTCAGGGGCAAATTAAAGAAACTGCCTGGGTCAGGAAAAGTTTCTTATTTTGTTCTGTGTTCACTGGAACTTGTGCTCCTGCAGTCTCACCTGCTAATATGTCCATGTCACCTGCTCTAGAGAGATGGCCCCCGCTTTGAGACTAGCATAAACATTTAAGTCAAGTGTATCTTCATCAACACACTATCATGCTGTAAAAAGCATCCTGGATAGCTCTGAAGACAGCAGGAACGTCACTCTGAAGAGTCTAAAATGAAATGCATATGGTTCAAACTCTCCTGCATAACGTCAAGTGGTTTTCTCTGTTCTTTATCCAAGTGCCCAATCATGGACATGTCAGCGCCCAGAAAACGCTTCCATCACAGATCATAACCTAGGAGGACATTCATTCTCCGGCTAAGTTCTGTAGGGTCTGTAGCATTTGGGGGAGCGGGGGAGGCTCCTCCAACCCGCGTACTGTAACTCCACTACACAAGAAATGTGTCAAAACGTTCACTGGGAGTGACTATGGAAAGTATCAAGTCACTTTGGGCTTAGGGACTGCAAGCTCGCCATTCAGTGTCCTGCTGGCTTCTTAACACGCCTGTGATTAATACTGGTACTCAGGAAAGAGAACTACTTCTGACCTTGAGAGTGTGCGCTAAATAAATTACCTCAGAGCGAAAGTGATGAGATCTCAGAACAGCATCTGGGGAGAAAAGAGGAAAAATGAGACTTCATTTAACTCCTTGGTCTCAGTTTCAATCCAGTGGGCACACTGGGGTAGGGGGAAGGCGGGGCGGAGGGAGTACCCGGCATCTGTCTTTAAGGACTCCTCTGCTAGAAGTTCCGGGAAAGTTCTGGGGGGGGGGGGGAGCTGAGAAGCCCCCAAATCACCACGCCTTACTTTCTTATCCCTCAGCTCCAGCGAAGGTTGCGTAAAGGCAAGGGTCCAGGACTGCATTTGGTATTACCCTCCCGACTTTAGCAAACTGGTTCTAAGACTCCCGGGGCGATCCTCCCCTCCAGGCCTCAGGATTACCATGGTTATCCAAACCTGGACGATCGGAGGATGGCGACCGGGGCCAAGAAGGCAAGACGCGTTAAATACACAGACGTACTTAGCTTGGGGAGTGGGCAACGAAGCGGGTAGGGGAGGCAGAGGAGGGAGGGGACCCCGCTGGACGCTCCAAATGGTGTGCAGTTTTCCTTCTACCCAGCAGAACGCAGTGGCAGTGCGTCTTACCTCTGCTCCGGGAACGACCCGAAAAGACCGATTTCATCGGATGTCTCCCTTTCTGGAGCTTGCGGTGCCAGCAGCAGAAGAAAATGATGGTGGCGATGGTGCCCAGCAGAAGCAGCAAGAGGAAGAGCGCGCATTGGATGCTGTAGGGTCTCAGCAGGACCAGGAAAGCCGCGGCGATCATGGTGCGGGCGAGGCGGGGGCGCCGCAGCGCAGGGTGGCGGGGCTGAGGGCGGCGGCAGCACCGCGCGGGGCGCACGGCGGGCACG